AACCTAATGTGTATATGTTGCTAAAGTCATTGTATCTTTTGATTTCCTATCACTTATTTGCTTCTGAGATTTTAATCACTGCAACAGCTGCATTATCCTACTAAATGTAATTTGAACTCAGCTTCTGACGTGCTGAACTATCCTTCATTCTTTCTTTAGTGTTGAATTCTCATGCATCTAATCTTTGAAGATTTTGATTCAAAAACTAACATTAAACCACAGCTTTATTTTTCATGTTAAATCTTGTATTTAATAAACTCATATGTCAAAGAAAGAGACAAGAGTTTAATAAAAACATTATGATTCTTTTTTGTTTGTGTATTTATTATCCTATAACCTTTGCCCATATTTGTGGGAACTTAGGAAGAACTAAACATCCCTGAAAGAGCAAGGAGAGATTGACCAGCAGATGGCGAATTGTGGCTGGTGAAGATTTTTCACAAACAGAAGACATTATTAAATGCCCTCATGCACTCCAGACAGTTGCTTCTTATGAATAGACTGAAAGAATTGAAGTTTTTGTGTTTGGCTTATGAGCTAAGCTTGCTGGGATCCTAAAGATTCCAGTCAGGCTCACCACTACAATTTATCATATATGGAGACAAGGTTCACATTTCTTAACCAATTCCAGATGTAATTTATTTACATCTAAAGAGAGGCTTTCTAAGCATAGAGTTCTATTTGATGACTTATTATATGGTTTGATACAAATGATTAAAGGACAGTAATGATTTTAAAGACTTAATTTTTTTTGGCAAAAGCTTGATTGTATTTTAAGTGATAAGTTGTCAATGTTGAATGTGCTTGCTGGGTATTTTCGACACCTTTCAATTCTTTTTATTTTACTATTTTCTTTTCTTTGAAATGATTTTCTGTGTAAGTTTTCGTATTAACTTTATTTGTTTAATATAATTTGTAATAAAAATACTGGAATAAAAGTTACATAGGCAGAAAGATAAAATATATAGAATAAATAGAAGATTTTTGAGAGTAAGAAATGTTTTGCTGCATTTGTCAGAAACAAAACAGGAAATCAAGTTTTGTAGCAGTATTTTAATACAAGATTGAAGATTGACAATAGATATAAAATTGTTCTTGAAGAAATTCCTATTAGAGTTTTGCATAAGAAAAAAAGAGTATGTTGACTGAGAAATTAAAAAAGAACCCATTTTGATGGGGAAAAAAATGGATTTTTACTTTAAGGCAGCAGAGTTTTCAATCTACCAGGAAGGCAGGAGAATTCTAGAAAAATGAAGAAGAATTGAAGGAGATTCAAATGGTCATGTCAAAGCAGACTATACAAAAACCCCAACAGATGCAACAGGAAGCTGAAAAAGATTATATTGAACTATGTGATACAGGTATCAATTTTTCTAAACTTTTGGTTTGATTATGTATGATAAATGCTTAATGTGGAATATAAATGGAGCAAATGCTTCTGAAAAGAGAAAAAAATCACTATTTAAAAATTAAAGAATATATGAAAAAAAGTCATAAATGTAGAGCCAGTCTGGTCTAGTATTTAAGTGATACCAGGCAACTCTGAGTTCTAGTCCTTCCTTAGGCATGAAGGCTGACTGGGCCAGTCACTCTCAGCCCAACTTACCTCACAGAGCAGGTGTTGGGTGGAAACAGGAAGATGGAAGAGTATTAGGCACATTCACATCTTGAAGTTATTTATAAAATGTAATACATGCAGGATTAAATGTGAAAATGCTTTGTAAAAACTGGGGTGAAAAGTTTTATTTCAGCAAGAAGAAAATTAAAAAAAGAAACGGAGTTGTTTTGTATATCAATTTATATTGACTGATGAGTATGGTAAATTTTGGGGGGGGGCTAGAATTTCATTTGCATGGGACTTTCATAAAGGGAACCAAGTCCCAAATGAGGAGAAAATATTATTTTATAAATGATTTATGGAGAGATTGATAGGTTTCTCTTATAAAAATTGGTGTCCAATGAGGGATTAAAATGGAGTGATCTCATCACAAGTGGGAAGAACTTCTGAGAAGGATATTCAAATCATTTAAGGCAAATAACCAAATGTTTTCTTTGATTTGATGGACACTTTAGGTGTGGTGGAAATATGGAGACAGAAAAATGGCAATTCAAGAGAGTATACTTACTTTTGTGAAAGTCATAGGTCCTTGTCAAGAATATATATGATTTAAATTTCAAAGAACATGGCTACAAGGATTTCTGAAGTCACAATATTATCAGACACAATTTGGATCATAATCCTGTGAGTTTGGTTTATAAAAGAAAATCTTTTATAAACAAGATTTATAAAAAGCAATAGTGGAAGACTATAAGGAGAAATTAATATTTTTTTTGAAAAATATTTAGGTAAAGACAGATTGGGAATCATTTGGGATTCACGTAAAGCCTGTATTACACATTATTTCATTAATAATAAGAGCCAGCAGAGAACACAACCTATTTTAGAAGAAATAAAGAGAAAAGAATTAAACAAAATTCCAGAGATGATCAGTATTGCTCAACAAATTAAGCTTCTACAATGACAATTATTTATGCTAACAGTAAGAGAAATAGAAATAAAACTGAATTATATAAAGCAAAAAAATTCAGTGTATAGATAAACCATAGAGATAGCTAGCATGTGAATTATAAAAATAAAAAACAGAAAATGATATTGCAACTAAAAAGAGAGATAATGAAAAATATCATCAAACAAAAAGAATTCCGTCAATATTATAATGATGTGATACCTTTCTAGAGAAGATAGGAAAATGTGTTAAACAAAATTTATGGAGGATTACAGAAGACCTAGAACAACAAAGAAGATTCCTGACGCTACGAAAACATTAAGCCTGGACCATATGGATTATAAGATTCTTATTCTAAATGTTTTGAGGATAAAATTTTTCAACTTTACAAACCATGATGAACTCTATCTGACAGGAAAGAAAGATGCCAGAGAGTTAAAAACAGTTCAATAGAGCTTTAATACCTAAAGCGGGATAATACTTAACTTTTACAAGAAATGATAGGTAAATATCATTATTAAATAACGACTGCATGTTCTTTACAATTATTCTAGTTGATAGACTGAAAATAATTTTACAAGAATTTATTCATGAGTATCAGTGTGGGTTTTTATTAAAAGACAATTAAAACACAATTTTAGAAAGGTGTTGAATATTTTGGAATGTTCAGAGTTACATATCTAAAAACAAGCCAAATATAGCTGAATCTTGATAAGTGGGGGTATTCAGAGACTTGGAATCCAGAAGTTTATAATAATAATAATAATAATAATAATAATAATAATAATAATAATAATAATAATAATAATAATAATAATAATAATAATAATAATAATAATAATAATAATAATAATAATAATAATAATAAAGTTGGACGGGACCTTGGAGGTCATGGAGTCCAACCCCCTGCCCAGGCAGGAACCCTACACTATTTCAGACAAATGGCTGTCCAGTCTCTTCTTAAAAACCTCCAGAGTTGGAGCATTCACCACTTCTGGAGGCAGGTTGTTCCATTGGTTAATTGTTCTAACTGTCAGGAAGTTTCTCCTTAGTTCTAGGTTGCTTCTCTCCTTGATCAGTTTCCACCCATTGCTTCTCGTCCTGCCTGGCAATACCCCAGACAGACCCAGTATGAAACTTTGGATTCTCCTATACTAACAACTTCTGCTCGAAGACCAAGTGATAGTCATGGCTAAGAAAGCCTTCACACAACTTCATGTTCTCCATCAATTGTGCCCTTTTCTGGACCTGCACTCAGTCACCCACACTCTGGTCATCTCCTGCTTGGAGTCCTAGTGGACGATCACTTAGACATGAGCCAGCAGTGTGCAGCAGCAGCCAAAAAAGCTAATACAATCCTTGGATGTATTAACAAAGGCATAGAATCAAAATCAAATGAAGTATTAATTTAATAAATCTGGCTGAAGAATTCTGAGAGCTGAAGTCCACAAGTCTTAAAGTTGTCAAGGTTGCAGACCCCTGCCCTATACTGACTATGTTTTGGGAGAAAGTAGTAGGTTATATAAATATAATTGTGCAACAAAAGCTAATATTTTTATATGCTCTTGAACTACATTTCTAGGATTATGTGAATGGGAGAAAGAAGATTTGCCATTTCCTGGCCTTGCAAATCTGATTTGTGGTCGCTTGCACCTTCCTGTACATTTGCAGATAGCTTAAAGGTAAGTAGATGACATGAAAATGAAATACAGCATTTAAAAATTTATATTCCAATGTAAAAGACCACTAGGAAAAAAGATGTGATGGCTCACCACTTTTGCATCTATAGCTATATGAGCAAATCCTTTCCGTTTTCCCCATATTAGTTTATAGTAGTTATTTCCATAATTTTGCTCTCGTACTCCTCCTGGTGCAATTCCCAGTACATGCCCTTGTTTCAAAATGTTTAAACACTTTTCTCTTGAACAATGATTAGTGTGATGGACAGCGAGGAATAGACGTATTCCTGCAAAGGCAGACATAAGAAATCATTCTGTTCTTGCTTGTAAAAGAAAACAGAATACACATATTTCCACCATGACATAAGTCTTTGAAGAAGAAAAATTGGACTTCCCAATCTAAGGTATATCATTTAAAAATAATTAAAGCTAAACTTTTAATATTCTTTTTTACCTGGTATATGAAAAACAATATGATCTATCACAGAATAGAATAATCTCCCAGTGAGTCTATAAATCCTTTGAATAAAATAATAATAGTCAAGTGGTACAGCTCCATGGTAATAAACAAGGATCGCTGGTCCTTTTGGTAGATTTTCTAGTCCAGAAACCTCATAACCTGTTAATGATAGAATAATGAAATTACTTCAGTAATGTTTCACAAGGGTCTCCTGTAGAAGAAAGGAAGTTCATGTAGAAAAAAATGACCTTTTTTCTTAGCTTTCTTGTGAAGCTAAACATTTTAAATCATATGTGATTTTTTGAACTACAAGCTGTCATATTAGGTAACAAAATCAATCAGAATTGTCAGAATTCAGTGCTATTACCTTTGTGATCCAGCATATTCCTTCTAATTTTTTTTATAATTCATTTAGATTCATGCCAATTAAAGTGACATAAAAGCTTATCTTTTATCTCAAACATCTCAACCTTATCTTAGGAATTATGACCATTGTAAAACATTTTTAAAAGGTAATTTTGGTATTCTACTTACTTTTTCAAGAACTGTTAATAGATACATAATATGTGTTGTGGGAAGAATCCAGAGAAACAAATACTTTGGGGAATATTAAAAAGGCAGAATATATTTCCCCAAAGGATTTTAAAGACAGAACCCCCCCTCCCCAAGTCTCTCTGCCCCAAACAGAAACCAGGTCTGCAGAAATGCAGATGTGATAATCTTGTCAGAAAGATTGGAGCCAGGAAGCTTAGATTAGAAAGAAAGATCCCTAGAATCAACAATCCCTCACACCAAAAATCCAACAGTAATCAGCCACAGCAACAGGGAAGCAAGATATGGCCTTTGGGACATAATAGGATTAACCCACCACCATCAGAATACCAGAAAGGCACACCCAGACTCAGGTCAAAGTTCATGCCAAGAAGGTATAAAAACCCACTCTCTACTACATGTGGTCAGTTTTTTCAGAGCCATCTTTCTGTCTGGCTCTCCTCTTCAATAAACTACAACCTTCTTTCTAAAGCAGTCTCCATGTTGTTTATTCCCAGCTTGGACTGGACCCTGATGAAGATTTTTATTTCAACAATTTGGTGACCCAGATGGGACTCCAAGCTAACCTCTGCAGTGGACTGAGATTGGGTAAGCCCCATCTTGCCGGCAGCAGACCCCTTGTGTCTGTGGATGGGTTTCCCAGGCCCTGCCCATGTGGAGTCAGGGTAGTAAAGGGAGTTTTGAGTTTGAGCTCAAGGGCTGCTTTGGAAAGAAAGTGAGTACTTCTAAATTTTAACTTTAAAGCCCAGGGGAGTAGAGAAACGTGTGTAGAAGACTCTTTTCCCAATCACATTTGGATTTTGCTTCCTCTGGCCTTTCCTAATTGCCGAAAGGATCTGTTCAATCAACAGACCTTGGAAAGCATGGGGTTTGGCCAGAGCGCAGGACCTTTTGTTAGGGAAAGGGAGTGGCTGTGTGAGATGGAATGGAAAAGTGAATGAGAGAATCAGATTTGGGCAACCAGCTGGTAAGGCCCTGTAAGCAAAGCCCAGGTCTGAGAAGAAGGTGCTCACGGTCGCTGCTTGGTGAAAAGGCAAGCAGATCCTCCCATACTCCTCTGAGTCCAAACTAGTAAAAGTAGAAGTGTGCGCACAGGAAAAGATGTTCATGAAAAGTTGTGAATAAAAGTGTAGTTGTAAGTAGTTGTGAAAAGTCGGTGGAAGGAGGTGCCCATACCTGCTGGTTGGAGACAGCAGGTCCTCTCAGACCCTTTTTGGGTCTGCAAACTGAAGGCAGTGTTCCTGTTACAGGAGGGTCCCTTACTCTGCGTTGGAACAAAGTCCTCCCAAACTGACAGGCAGTATGGTAGGGATTTTGCCGCGCGGAAGACCCAGCTAGGGGGGAGGAAATCTTGTTCTGCAACCCTTGGAAGCAGACCACACTGACCCAGACACTGCCTCCATTCATTTGAGCCATGGGATTGGGTCTAATCCAGCCATCCACTAGAAAGTTACCATGCAATCAGAGTGGAACAGACCTTCCCAAGTCCTACCATTCCCCCAGATGCCTGTGAAAGCTGTAGAGGAAGGAAGGAGTCCTGGAGCCATTGGCTCCCATGTGAAGCCGCAGAAGACAACTGGAAAGACTATGGGGGAATGGTGGAAACTCATTGTAAGATTTTCTTTCTTGCCTCATTTGTATTGTAATAAGCCATTTGAATGTATTTATGGAGAGATGGCATTGGGAATGGTTGGCATAGCAAGTACTGAACACCTTGGACCTCTGTCTGGTAGGAGAGAAAATTTGTCCAGGATGCTTGAATTACTTGTTTTGTACGAGTAGCTATGTACACGAATGCACACACTGAGTCTATCCCCTTCACCTACCTTCAGTAAATCCCCCTGCTGGTAGCAGGAAAGAGATCTTCAAACCCAAGCCCTGAGTATGTTTCACTGGGGGACTCAGAGTGGGAATCCTAGGGATCACTGTGTGCAATTTAAGAAAAATTAATAGACTGGCTTGCACACTGGCTAACCTCAATTGGACATCACAAATCTGTATGTGCTAAACTAAGAGCTAAGGCAGGAAGCAACCCTTGAAAATGGGTAGCCAGTGATTATGTATGGCTGTAAAGAATTTTGAGATGCATGTGCAGACCTGACTGGAAGCTCAAAGTGACATCCAACATTTGAAAATAATTGGCACAGAATATTAGACACTATATTTTTTTTTCCATCTAAAAGAACTTTTGCCCTGACTTTAGACCTTCATGGTTGAAAGGCTCCCCCTTTTGGGAGCCACTGTAGGGATCTTTTTCTGCTGCCTCTATTAGTGTCTTCTCTTTTTTTGTATTAACAGTTTAAAAGCTTGTTTATCAAGTCTCCCTCACCAGATCATTTTTTAATCTTGTACTAGTAAAAGTGTGTCACTCACACACTCTTATGGCACAAAGGGGGGATATTGTGGGAAGAATCCAGAGAAAGAAATATTTTGGGAAATATTAAAAAGGCAGAATATATTTCCCCAAAGGATTTTAAAGACAGAAACCAACAACCCCCCCCCCTCAAGTCTCTCTGCCCCAAACAGAAACCAGGTCTGCAGAAATGCAGATGTGATAATCTTGTCAGAAAGATTGGAGCCAGGAAGCTTAGATTAGAAAGAAAGATCCCTAGAATCAACAATCCCTCACACCAAAAATCCAACAGTCATCAGCCATAGCCCCAGGGAAGCAGAATATGACCTTTGGGACATAATAGGATTAACCCACCACCATCAGAATACCAGAAAGGCACACTCAGAGTCAGGTCAAAGTTCATGCCACAGGAACAACTCCAGACAGTTGTTTAGTGAAGCAGTTGTTAAGCAAACACCATGTGACTGCTTTGTTCAATGACCACAATCCCACTCTCCAAGTTGTGATCATTAAGCGATTTCATGGGTTATTAACTGGAGTGATAGGAAGAAAGCCTGATGCTCCTGAGAGTGATGGGACAGGGAGATGGAAAAAGCCTCCCAAATGCACATGGAAAGTCTGGGCTGGCTCCCTACCCGACAGGGAAGAACTATAGCAAGAATGACGGTGTGCACTAGATTTGAAGACTATTCCTCCAGTGCACTGATGGATTTCCCCTCTCAGGAACATTCACTAAACCATATTTACTTTTTGATGTTTCCTAACACTAGGCTTGAAAAATATTCATTTTTATTTTTCTAATGCTATTTTTTAATATAATGATCCCAACATGCACATGCTTAAATATTTCTGGTATTTTATGGTTTTATATATACAGTTTTTTATTATTTTAAAAATATGCCTGCAATTACTCTGCTGAATAGTGAATTAAGACAACTTCTTCATCCAGTTCTTTAGCCATAGAAATAAGGGAGTTCCTTGACTATGACCACTTTTACCAAAAAGAATTATACATAAATTGACACTATGCATCCTCAGTTTTCCATTAACATTCTATTAGATTCAGATGTGGCTCCAAGATGCACATGACTGATAATTATGGCTGGCAAAAAGAATGATGCCTATGATTGTAAGTTCCTCAACCCTGCCTTAAAGAATGAATGAAGAAAGTCATACTTACTGTGCAATATTTTTCCATGCCACTCAGCTACCAGTGCCAGAAATTGTTTTGGCTTGTCCCATTTTTGGCTACTTATATCTTCTGGCAGATTGCCAATTTTTTTCCATACAAAAAGTATTGCATTACTGACATAGATGATAAATAATATATGAACAAAAGGATAATATAATATTATCAGAATCCCTATCAAAATTAAGGGATATACCATAAAGACTGCATATCCTTCTAAAATGTATGTTGACCAGATTGTAAATTCATTTCTTAAGGTACAATATATATTTTCCATAGTCATGTTTGAAATCAGACTACATAAAAAGAAATCCATTCAAAAACAAATAATTTCTTCCTGGAAAAGAGAAATAAAAAACACACAAACATACTTTACTATTATTAATAGTTGCAATATTGAGCTCTGAGAGGACAGCAGAATATCAGTATGGTACTGCATATATGGTGATGACACTTTCAAATAGCCTTAAGGAGAAGATTGGGCTCAGAAAGGGTAAACAAATAAAGGCTTAGTACAATCAATCAGACTATTGATCCTTTTAATGAAACATTACTGGCATTATTAGAGACTTAGGTTAGACTTATTTCTGAACCAACCAAAAAAGACAATGACCAGCCAATGGTGCCAATATAGAAGGTGCTCCTTAACTTTAGAAACAACCTGTGGGTTATTGTGCACAGGACAAGTCTAGACACCCTCTGTTTAAAATCAGACACGGAATTTTTTTTCTTCCTGGTTAATGTCCATTGTCTCCCCCCCCCTCATTTTTATTAGAAAGGGATCAATTGTAGATTCTTTCTACAATCTTCCTTTTTTCTCTGCTAGAACCTGGTCCAGACATCTCCAAGCCTGCCATTCCTTTAACAATTCAATAAGGAGTGTTTCATATATGCTTCATTTAGGATTTTCACCGACACCATTCAGTAATGCAGAATAAAATAAAATAAAATGCCTTGCCTCGCAATCTATCATTAAGGAAACTATTTGATCAGCTGACAGAAGGAATAAGTGTTTCCTCTCTTTGTTTTCTATAAGCTAACTGCTCAAAGAACTTCTAGCAGAAGACAAAAACTATCAGTATTCCATTCACCATGATAGCTGGTATCATTATCAGCCTCTCATCTTGGCTTTGTTCATAAATGAAAGGAAAATAGCAGTAATGTTTTAGATTCTGCAGATATTTGAGAAGTATCTTTATAGAGTCCATTAAATCTTTAAAATAATATTCAGTTTTCTGCAAAATGACTCTAAGGCTTTTCCTCCGACACCCCAAGTCACTTAGAAGAGTTGATGTAGGGGCAACAAGCAAGGAGGGGACCCCCACTGGATTGCGGGAGGGCAGTAGCCCTTCTGCTTGATCTGGGGCAGCCCTCCAAACCAGCAGACGAAAGACTGGCCATAGAAATATGGCCCGTCACTAGGCTGCAGACAACCGAAGTCAAACTTACCAGATTAAAGATTTGGGTTTTACTTACAAAAAAGAAGTAAAATTGAAAAAAAGATTATAAAAATTTTGGATTTAAAAAAAAACCTTAAACGATATGGGTGACATCTTGTGGCTAAACCTGATATTATTGTCTAAAAGAGACTGCTTGAAGCACAGACTATAGATAAGACTTTTGCAATCTTGGCAGATATCAGCTGTGAGAAGCCCAGCTGTGTTCTATACTCAGCGACAAAATTATTTTCACTCTCTGATTGTAAAGCTTTTAATTTAACACATCACTAAGAGAACATGGATGTTGAAAGCAATTTATGAAACTATTCTTACAGCTTCTGATGAAATAAGAAGCTACGGAAAAGAATAAGATGTCAGCCTAGATATATGAACCCAAACTTTTAAATTGATATAATAAAAATTGTATTAGTTTAAATACAGTAAACACTAAGGGGAAAAGAGAGGAAATATTTAATGTGGTAGTTTGAGACTTGTACTAAAGATATTTGTATGTCATTGAATTATCGATTAACTCAGCCACCACATTGCTTTTTAAATACTTAAATGTAAAATTAGAAAATCAATAAAACATTGTAAAAAAATGAAAATGGGTGACTCATCTGAATTTCCTTCAGAATGAAATTGTAATTTATACATTAATAACCCCTCACCTTTCTGTAATAAAAATATTACTCTGAATTCAGTATCAAAACATTAAAGGAAAAGTTGTAAATTTATAAACAAATATAACATTATAGATTGACAAAGAAAAACTAGAGTCCCCCCATTCAATGAAAGGAAATCAATTTCACCTGCATATCACCTGTTTTCCAAAGGGATCTGTTTCAGACTCTTTCCTAAAAAAAATAAGTTTGAACTCTGATGTTATTTGTTTTTAAACCAACACAATGTTCTGTTGTCCCTCCCTCAGAGGGTGGGGTGAGTACAAATTCAATTCAAATTAGCCAACCAATGCTAATTAACTTGCATATTTAAATGCAAGAGGGTTAATTGGTTTGGTACTTAGGAGACTGGGACATGAGTTGCCTCTTAGGAGTATGTGATAGTGCTTGGGAAACTACATAATTGATTGTAAGCTCTCTCTCTCCCATTGTGTTCTGTGTTGTGTGCTGTCCCACTCATGCATGGACATACACCATGCGTGTAAGGAGTCTTTATTAAGGCTTCCAAGCCTGAATTGGTATTCCCCCAGCAATTTCCTCTGCAAACACCAGCTCAACCCCAATGAGTTCCACAGGCTACTCAAATGAAGCTAACATTAGTACTCAAGGAAAAGGCAAGTCCAGGAGGGGAGTTGGTCAATGGCTCCAAGCAGCAATCTGAGAGTGATTTGGCTGAAGCACAGCTGCAGCAGGACAGCCCTGAGACTTCAGATGGGGAAGGCACACAGCTGCAAAAGGCAAGTTTCTAAGGCAAAGGCAAGTTTCAAGGCAAAGGCAAGTCCACAGGGTAAAGGCAAGGCCATAGCTGAAGAGACACGATCCAAAGTTCAAGGCAAGAACACACAGCAAGGAAATGAATACTTTGTTCCCAGCATAGTCTCCATCTGTCAGCTGTGCTAAATAGCCAGCTTCTGGTGCAGTCCATCAAAAGGCCTCCTCACAAATAATTGGACTAACCTTCACTGCTCCTGCCTTTTCTCTGCCTTACATGTTCTTGGATCAGATGCAGAAGGCAGTTCTTCTTCCTCATCACTGACTGGCTGCACCTACATGCTTTCCCCACCTGAAGCCTCAGGACTCTCCTGCTGCAGTTGTGCTTCAGCCAAATCACTCTCAGATGGCTGCTTGGAGCCATTGACCAACTCCCCTCCTGACGTGCCTCCTCTAAATTGACATCTGGAGAGGTATCGGAGGAAGCGTCCAAGGGAGTCATTACATTCTTGGGGGGAGGGTTTGGAATTATGTGGATTTTGTACTCTCCAAGGACTGGACATACGACAGCATAGCAGATCTGTACAAAATACTGTATTGCAGCACATACCTTCCCCAACAACTGACTACTGCTCTGGTCAGCCCCTCATTTATGTTTTGTCAGCTTATGTTGACACATAAATGTCTTTAATACTCAGTGCCCTAAAGATAGCCTTCAACTTATGACCATAACAGAGCCTACCCATCACCACTGAAAGTTGTGATGGTCATAAAACAGGTCAGTCACATGACCATCCTTTTTGCAGTAGTTGTTAGGCAACTGTGGTAGTCATAAAGTAGCTGTTAGATTGATAAGTGAATACCCTAGTTACTAAGTGAACCAACAGTTTGCTATGAGTGTGATTTTACTGAAAACTGTAAAAAATGCTGGTTTTTGGCATGTGACTATGGGAAACTGCAAATGCATAAATGCTGCCTGGCTGCTGAGCACCAAAGTTCAGTCATGTGACTACAGAAGTGTTACTATTGGAACTTCAATTCTGGGTTGTATGTAGCCTCCAGGTAGGTCTATCATAACTTTGAATAATCAATAAGTGATCAGTCATAAGTCAGGGACTACCAGAATACTAATTCTGTTATTAGTTCAAACAAAAGTTACAAAATTTTTAAGATAACATATAACCTTTGCCTTTTTTCAAATTGTCTTTCACTATTTGGGTGAGGTACCATTTCAAGCTGATTGCACCTTTCCTAGTTGCTTCTGAGCTCCAGGCAAAACTCCAAGCAGGACTCTCACCAGGATATGTTCAACATAGCTTGTGAGCATTTGAACAAAACACATCTTGCCTGCTTGTAATAACAGCCAATCTGCAGATATCACCTCCCTTCCTCACGTGTAGCCTGTTTGCTTAATGTCAGAACATACTTGAAAACACCAAGGTGTGACTCAGTACAGGCAGCTGCAACATCATCTTAGATGCCTGTGAGTAAATGTATGAGTGAAAATCTCACTACCTAAGAGAAGTTCAAGGGAAGTGTTGGAAGAATCCAGAGAAAAAAATATTTTGGGAAATATTAAAAAGGCAGAATATATTTCCCCAAAGGAATAATAGAGAAGATCTTAAAAAAGACAGAAACCAGCCCCCAGAAATCAGCTCCAGCCCCTAGGCAGAGGCCAGCATTTAGAAATGCAAATTCAATAATCCATTCAGGAAGGTTGGAGCCAGGAATCTAGAAGAAACTGATGAGATTAGGATGACAAAGACCCTAAAATCTACATACCCCCACCTAAACTCTAAGGTCAGGAAACATAATAGGATTAACCCACCAATACCAAAAGGGCACACTCAGATTCAGATCAAAGTACATGACACAGGAAATACAAAGCCTCAAACAGGAACAGGAAACAACCTCAAGAGCCCCAGAAGGTATAGAAACCCACTCCCTACTACATGTGGCCAATTTTCCCAGAGCCACCTTTCTGTCTGGCTCTGCTCTTCAATAAACTCCAATCTTCTTTCTAAAGCAATCTCCATTTTGTTTATTGCCAGCTTGGACTGGACCCTGATGAAGATTTTTCTTTCAACGGAAGCATTTTTGCTTAATTGCAGCTGCTTTTTCAAAGCACAGGCAGCAGTTCCAACTTCACTCCCTCATAGGGAGAAGTCAGCTCTTTGTCCTGTTTTAGATTTCAGATACATACACACACACACAGTTTCCAGGTATTTCAAGGCTAAGTACATAAACAGCAGATAGGGAAAGGAATATAAATCAAAACACAGTTTATTGGGAAAAGAACATGCCTGGATAGTTTTGCTTTCAACAGGAACATGCAGAAGACTTGCATTCAGAATTTGTGAGTGTTCCAACACTGGAGGTTTTTAAGAAGAGACTGGATAACCATTTGTTTGAAATGGTATATGGTTTTCTGGCTGAGCAGGTGGTTGGAC